ATAGTAGTAATAGTAGTAATAGTAGTAATAGTAGTAATAGTAGTAATAGTAGTAATAGTAGTAATAGTAGTAATAGTAGTAATACTAGTAATAGTAGTAATAGTAGTAATAGTAGTCGTAATTGTAGTAGTAGTAGTAGTAATTGTAGTAGTAGTAGTAAATATAGTAATAGTAGTCGTAATTGTAGTAGTAGTAGTAGTAATTGTAGTAGTAGTAGTAAATATAGTAATAGTAGTCGTAATTGTAGTAGTACTAGTAGTAATAAAAGTTAAAAAAAGAAAAAAAAAACATAGTGATGATCTCAATATGTAAAAAATTATTCGAAAGGAATCAATCAAAGATAATCAGGAGAACTAATCCACATCAAATTAGTTAATTAATCATTAATTATTTATTTAGCTATCAATTCCGCATGCAATTCGTTCAGTTAGCTCCACTGTGCGCATGGCAGTCAATGCCATTTGCCGCAGCTTTGCTAGCTGTTGGCTGCAACATTTCTACTTTCACAGCTGTTGTTGTTTATGTTATTGTTGTTGTTGCAGTTGTCGCCCATTGTTGCTTCCGTTTGGTGTGTGGCAGCTTAATGAGAGCAACACCCGAAAGGATTTGCCACCAAACGTAAACGCATCACCCTCCGGAACTGTCAGCTGTCTCTCCGTCCGTGTCTCTGTGTCTTTGTGTCTATGTGTGTGTGTTGCATAAACAAGAAAAAAGCAAATGCTGCAATTGCCACAGGGACTTGCCCTGCCCCGCCCCGCCCTGCGCTCGGCCTGTGCTCATTTCGTTTCAATTGCGTCAAATTGTGTATTGAGGCAACTTTTGTGGCTCTTACCGCACTTATGGCCGCAGCAGCTCTTCGCTTTTGTTTATGCTTGGCGAAAAAAACAAACATTGAACGCACACACACACACAGAGGCATGCAAGAAAATGTTCGATTGCCTCAAATCGTGGCATTTCAGCAATTTTTCACATGTCTCTGTCGAAAAGGGAAAAACAAATTTTAATGTTTATCCATTTGCCAGTGACGCGTCATCTTGTCTGTGCCCCCGCCAGAACGCCAGCCAGCCCCAAATCCCGCAACTAACCCCCATGCAGTTGAGAGTGAGACAGAGTGAGAGAGCAAGTACTTGGTGAGCATTATGAAAGTCCCTAGAGCTAAACTCATAAACCCCAAGCAGCAGGAGATGAGAGAGATTTTTATTGCAACGCCAACTGCAATGACTCTGCATGCAGAGCAACCCTCCCGGCCAACARCGACCAGCCCCAGCTCCAGCTCCAGCTCCATCCCAGAGTCGACATAAACCCATCAGCCATAAAGTGTCGCAAACAATTTAAATGACCTGTTGATGGATTCGACGAGCAGGAAACAATTCCCAGCCATGGCAAATGTGCCACCAATAAGTGCTATAAATAAATGTAAATACTATACTATATATACATATATATGTATATCTAGATATCTTTATATCTATCTATATATCTGGGAAATCTGTTGTAAATTTGTTCAACTCAATTTATGGATCATAAAACTAATTTCTCTATTAATTATGATCTGTGTCAGTTTTTTTTTTCATATCCCATCCGCATTGCGAACATGATTTCATTTGGCATTTCCCATTTCACATTTTACATTCTCCCAACCTTTGGAATTAATCATGCAACTCGTTAAAAGCCAAGCACACGCTGCAGATACATTTGCATCTGTTGTATCTGCAGCGGCAACACGAATTTTATATCTCGAGCGCATCTCCCAACTGTCGATCGCATCGAATTTGCTGTTCTAATTTTAATTTTATCGGGCGACAACGAATTCCATAATTTCCTGGACGTCTTTTAGTGGCAGTTGGACACGTTCGGCCGATTGTGTGTTTCAGTTATTCGAGTGGGCCGCAGTCGGAAATAGAATAGACACATCCGATAACAACTATTAAATCTGATTAATTCATTTATGCTGCTAACAAATCATTCCAAAGAGTTGTGGCGTGCATTCAAGAAGTTAACAGCGCCCTAACATAAGCGGTAAATGTTAAAGTTAACAGTGACAGCAAATGCCAAATATTGAAGAAAGGTAAGTGTGACACCTTCTGGTAACAGTCACTGAATTAACAGCGCCTTAACAGTGCCAGTTAATGTCATATGTTAAAGATCCTYAATCAATAATTTCATGAATAGAAATTGTTGCATGCTTATTCTAAAAAAAAAAATGTTAGTATGTGAAATAATTTTGTTGACAGTCAAATGTCAAGTGTTAGAGTTTCTTAATCCAAGTGCTCGTTGATAGAAAATGTGAAGTGTTTTTATCAATGGTCGCCGACTTAATGGTGCAAGTCTCTGAGGCAGTACTGTTGAGATATTTAACATTATTTTAACATTGATCATTGATTTAAGGTTTAAACTTCAACATTAACAGTGTATTAACATTGAATAATTCCATTCAGCTAAGCAACCTTATGGTCTAATATTTGAAGAATATGTCAAATCATTTCAATTCATCTGACTCGACAAACGGAAAATCTTCAACATGTTTTCGATGTAGATGTAGCATTCGATCCATGTCACTTTTTTTTATGTGGCACAACAAAAATGTTCGATTTGATAGCGAACATTGAGTATTTCCGAGCTACTTTGATGAGTGCTTAATGTGAGCTATAAAAATTGAATATGAAATAGGCTAAGGGTTAGTTTTTGTGAGATTGAGCGGCAGGGAGGTAGGGGTAATGGGGCAGTCGTAGGGACAGCGATAGGGGCAGGGGCCGTGGCAGGAACTGGGGGCAGAGGCAGCTGATTTGAGCTACCATTTGGTGCATTGACATTGTGCACCTTTACATTTTCTCAGGCCTTGTTTACACACGGTCGAGTGTTAAGTAAACTGCTGTCGTTGTTGTTGTAGTTGTTGTAGTTGTTGTAGTTGTTGCTGCTGTGTAAACAAGTGACATCTGGCCAGCCATCCATGCTGAGTGGCCGCTCCTTGGCCCTGCTTAGCAGTGCGACAATTCTCGAGCGGGGGTGTTACAAATGTATCTATCTATCTGTATCAACGAGCTGCAACTCAATTTGTATCTTTAGCTATTGCGCGCAGTTTAATCTAAGAGCGAGGAGCTGGGTCAGTCACACACACTCACACACACACACACACACACTGGCATGCCAACGCAACAATCTGTGTGGCATTCCGCTCTAGCAGATTAGGCTAGCAAATTGTATGGAAGCGAATGGCGTGGCCAACAATGCGCCGCATCACAAAATATTTAATTAAATGCTTAATTACGCTTGCCATGCCATAAATTCATCAAATGCAATTTAAGCTTACACACACTCACGCACACACACACACACACACACACACTCGCCCCACGACATTCAGCAGCTCCTCGGCTCTGGCTGCCCGCTATGCTGCATGCGTTAATGTCCACATGCAGATACAAAGATACACAATTACAGCCACAGATACAGATGCAAGCGACTGGTGCTGCGCATCTCGTTTTCATTCATTAACAGAGTTCGGCTAAAGCTGAGCAGCCCGGTCGCCGGGTTAAACGATATGTGCCATAACTCTTCCAGCTCAATCTTTGCAAATGCGACACCAGCAACTGCCTCGTGAGTCGTGCGTCGTGAGTCGTGTATCGTGAATCGTGCTGCTCTTCTACAGTTGCACAGAGCGCAAGGCGAAGCTTCGTTTTTATGGATACATGTGTGTATGTATCTGCATCTGTTAGCCAACTTCAACTGAATATTCTTTAAAGTTGCTTAATTTTAGTTAAGAATTTAAGACATTAAGATACTGTATCTCTATACGAACTTAAGTATCTTCTTAACAGCATCATTTCATGTTAACTCACTATTAAATGTTAGCTGTAAAGTTTGCGCTGTTAAGTCAACATTTTAACTGTGAATCGTACATAATCTATATCTTAGTGATCAACTTAGACTGCATATACATTTTCTTAGCTAAGCTTGACTTACTAGCCCTATAGTTTAAGCTTTGATGATATTACAATTTATGCTACAGTATATTGACAGAAGTATCTTCAATGACAGTCCGTTAGATACTTTAAGAACTTTAAGACATATAATACCTAAGTTACTTATGTTAATGTTAAGCAGATCAAAATAGTACATGTATATGTTAATTAACATTTAAACTCAATTTCATAGTTTTCTAAATATGAATTGAAAATTCATAAGCTGCTCTATTAATGCTAAATAAGAAAGCTAGGCATATCGGCAACTTAACATTGCGTTAACATATAACTATTCCATTTGCTTCACTTCGACAACATTTTGTGCACTTTCCACGCTCGGAGCTAACCAAATGGTTTGCCATCTGTCAAATCGCGATTCGAGCCCCGCTTGGGCTTGTTATTGGCTCTAATTGCAACTGAAACTTTTACTCCGCTGCCATAACTCAATGGAGAATCTGTGGTCAGGTCAATGAGACTCCATTTCCATGCCCACACACACACACACGCACACACGCATATACACACATGTGCGCTTGGGCCAATGCACAGTAGATGAAATTGACAAATTGCAGTGAAAATTTAGCTTTTGAAATGAAAACGAAATGCGAGCAATTATTTTTAATTGAAAATGTCAAAGATGTTGGCTGCTGAAAAGCGTCGGCCAAGTCGTCAAGCGGCCCAGCGTCAGCGTACAGTAAATGTATCTTACAGATACAGATGCAGATACAGATACGAATACAAATACAGATACAGATACAAATGCGTGCTGCACTGCGTTCTGCTTGAGAAATTCAAACTATACAAAAAAAAACAACGAAAAACAAAACAAAATGGGAAAAACGTGGAAAACTTATTAGAAGCACTCGAGGGCCACTTTGGGAGGCGGCACCTTGAGCGGAAACGCGATAACCCTGAGCGACGGGAAATCGAAATGAGACATAAAACAGAATAGGAAGACAGAAGTAGACTGAATACGGCCAACAGATCGAACTATATAGCAGGTCGTGGTGCATTTGTATTATGTCAAGTGGAGCTTACCGGATAACATGGGCGCCAGCGCAATGGCATTGGAGTCCTGTTGCTGCTGTTGTTGTTGCTGAAGCTGCAGCTGTTTGCTGGACAGCTCCTGTTCCTGCTTGAGTGCGCTCGACTTGCCCGGCACACAGCCGCCGATGGGCTTCTTGGATTTCCACAATTTCATAGTGTTAAGTCACAGAGTCACAGAAAAAAAGGATTCGCTTCTAGATTGAATGTGATTTTAGATTTGGTTTTCGCTTGGCAAATACATTGTTTCGCACTCTTTCTCTCTCTCTCACACTCACTCACTCTATCTATGTATATCTTTTTATAAACTATATATAGAGAGCTGTTTTGGTTTGGTATTCGATTGGTGCTGCATAATCAAGAAACCCAAAAAAATACTATAAATTGCACCATTCGAAATAATGAAAAAAAAATGAAACAAATATTTAGGAAAAATAAATGAAAATGTGGAGCAGATACTCACACATACACGCTCACACACAAACACAGTCGCGCGCGTGTATTCAAAAATTGAACAACAACAAAAAATAGTTAAACGTCTCGCGAGGGCGCGACGTTTGCTGCTGCTACTGCTGCTTGTGGCAGTGGCACGTCCGGTGTACGCGACGAGAAATTGCACAATGATTCAGAAGTCCGACAGGCGCCGGCAGCCCGCTATACGCTCGCCGATCTTACAGTTAGCTGCCTCGCAGCAGCAGCAGCAGCGCCCGCGGCAGCGACGCATCGTGTCGCTCTGCTTTGTATCGGGCAGATACGCAACAGCAAGCAGACAACGGCACTCTGCCGCTCTCAATTGCACGCGCTCTCACACTCTCTGTCTATTCCTCTGTTGCTCTCTCTCTCTCTCTTCACGTCTGCCTCTCTCTTTCACTTATTTTCCCGTCTATGAATTTCCATTCGAAAAACTCTCTCCCACTCTCGCTCGCGCCGGCTCTCCTTTCGTTTGTGCCCGAGTGCTTGGCGCGTTTTACCCTGCGCTGCAGACAACAACAACAAAAACACAAATAAAATCCAATAAGAATGCTGTGTCATCTAATGTATGAACTAACATATATCCTGTACAAAAATCCATTTAATTATGTATGTGGTGTATCTATAGATATATGTATATTAATATGACTGAAGTAGGCAATATAATATGAATCTTATACTGCGTCGGTATAAAAATATTTAATTTCCCATATAAAGATGAGCTAATTTGATTTAGCTTAAATATTCATTGATATTACCATTTAATATTTCTCATAATTTAACATGTAAATTTTAAAAGCCAAAACTAGAAATACCTTCGCTCAAGTATTTCTCTTACCGCCATATATACCCCACTTGGTCATGCATGCGTGTGTAGGGTATCATCATGTTATAGGCCCATATGGAACATTTGCGCATGTTGCGCCAGAGACGGCGGGCGCTATAGTATCGCATGCGAGCTTCTAATTGGAAAGCACTCAAATCAGAGCCGAATGATGTGCGATATGCATGACAATGGACAATGGAGCATCGGAACTTCGGAGCAGTAGCGCCAATGGGCGCTACTTAAGGGTTTAGACACCAAACTGTTCGACTCGATGGCCCCTTTTTGGCTCGTTTCGAGGTCGTCTTCTGTGTTGATGATGATGTCGAAAATTTCGCTAATTAGTCACGAAAAAGCTCGCGGCCCGAAATGGTCAAAATGACCAAAATTGGCCAAGTGGCAAATGTGGCATAGACCAGAAAAATAGGCAAAAAAAAAATAAATAAATAGAAAAANCATCCGTTTGGAAATGTGTTTTATATTCAAATATGGTACTTTTCTTGAACGGAAAGTGTTCAAATCGAGATGTCTTAAATATTTCCGTACTGTTTGGTCCATTGCTGATATGTTTAGGTCCTTTTTCAGTTGAGTAGCCGGCTTAAAAGGATCCTTTTACTCCCGTGAATGAGACGAGTGACATGATTTTGCGTCAGAACTCAACGCAATCCGCGCTTTTCATCAATTTTTTTTATGTATTAATGCATTGTGGATCATTTGATTTTAACAACCCATCAAATGACCAACTTTCCTGTGAGAATTTCGAGTTAAAATCAACTTTTTGATGAGATTGGGTTGTTCGGTGGGGTAATGCTTTTCACGACCCATTTTTTTTTGCAAATTTTCACAAATTCTGAAAATTTTTTAATCAAAATAGATATATAAACAACAAATCTAATCAATAAGTGCTTTTGAAGATATTCAAATCTGCGAAAAATACAGATTTTCACTCGAAAAGGGTTAGTGGTGCTATTATTTTTTTCGGCATTTTTACGACTTTTTTGAGAATTTTTTGAATTATATAAAAACGATTAATATTTTTGGGATAATTCTGGCTTGTTGCGATTATTAATTGTTTTCTGCTTACATACAAGAAAAAAGTAGATCAATATATTGATAAATGCACCTAGGAGAACTTCTTAAACTTTGCGTTTGCAAGTGGTGCTATTTTATTTTTCGCAACTGTATATAATTAAAGTTTTTCTTTTTTGAGAAAATATTTATTTACTTTAACTGTGTTATAGAATATGTCCAACTATATTAAATGCAGCATACGTTTAGGCTGTACTAATTGTTTTAAATATATCATAATTTAATAATAAAAATAATAAAGTATTTAATTTCTACATTCCACACTATTGTTCTTAAAATTTTTGCCTAATATCCATTTCACATTTGCATTGCAATGTTTCAAGTGCATTGTACCAGTGTGCAGCCTGGAAGTAACTCAGCTGAGTTTGTCTCCCTTCCACACTCTTACAATTTTTCGGTCTTTTCGTTTCCTCCTTTGCGCTCTGCTTGTACTTATACTCATTTTTCAAGCCAGAAGTTAACCGTTACATTGAGACACATTGCATACTCACACATTTCATATTCACACACAGCGCTAACTATGCATGTGTGCCAATATAAAGCGTAGTCAATCGGCTCTTCCTCTCTGAGTGCTTTCGCGCCCTTTGCATTCAAGAATAAAGCCGTTATATGGAAACAGACACAAGACGTGGGAATTTTTTCGACGCGTGCGCAGAAAATCTGATGTTAGTTTAATTGGAGATCGTAACCTTTTAGGATCTCCGTCAGTCCCTATATGTGCGTGTATTTGTTATTCATGGACTTGCGCATTGTATTGCTATGTGTACTCAATTTTATAACGGTAAGTAGAAAAATATGTGAATACAAATCTGTCCATTCTGGCAGCTGTCCCTCTCTAACCAACACGCACAGATTCATGGAGAGGCGCCCATTGACAGCAGGTCTGCAGGTCCAGCGAAGCTGCTGCCCAGCGTCTGCCGCAAGGATGTTAACGGCACCAGTTTGAGCGTAGAGATTCGTCTGCCCTTCATGGACATGGAGCTGCGCCACGAACGGCATTTGCTTGTGCTGCGGGCGCCGCAGCTGCTGCTGGTGCTCCATGGCCATGAGCTGTTCCAGCTGCAGCTGTCCGGCAAAGAAAAACGCCTGGTGCGCTTGGGCGAGCTGGCGGGCCGTGTGCGCCACCAGTTGGCCACAGCTGCCGCTGTCGTCCTCTGGCGAGAGTATCTATTGCTGTCCGTGGCACTGGACGAGTCGGTGGAGTTCTATCAGATGCCCCAGCAGGCAATGCTAGATGCCCGGCAGCTGCTATTCGAGCCCATTCAGGAGTTTGCTCTGGCTGGCAGCAGCGTGCAACAGCTTCATTTGCTGCAGCCAAATGCAGACCAGGTGCTGCTGCTGCTGACCTTCAATGTGACCCAGAGTCACGCCAGATGCAGGTGAGTTATGCACCAGGCTACCAAACGTCTATCCCGTATTCTCACTCAGACCTTCACAGAACCTACGAATGGTTGGAGTCCTATTTCAATCCCGTGGAGGAGCTCAGTTTGCCAACCATCAAGGCTTTTCAGGTGGTGGGCCATCAGCCCCATTACATAATCACCGGGCGATCGCTGCGAGGACAAGCTAGGGTAAGACAATGATGTACCCTTGCTGACCACATTCCTAATTCTCTTCGTCTTGCTCTACAGCTTGTGCTGTCCGTCTATGAGTTGGTGACGCCCACGCTGCGCCTGGTGCGCCGGCAGAGCCTCACGGTGCAGGCGCGGCACGTGCTGGCCGTGCGTTTTCGTGGCCGCAATCTGATCTTCGCCTGTCCCAGCATCACCAGCAGCAGCGGTGGCTCATGCATCCTCTTCCGCATGGTCGATGGCAACTTTGTGGTGTATCGGAAGCATGTGCTGCGTCAGCTACAATTCAGTCACTTGGCCGCCTCCGAGCAGGGCCAGCTGCTGGTGGGAGCACGTGCCAATGGAGAGATGCTGGTGTTCAATAGCCAGCGCCTCGATTGCTACAGTGGCTTTGGGGCCGATGGCCAACCGAATGGTGTCTACACGCATCGCAATCCACAGAACGAAAGCTTCGTACTCCTAACATATAAAAACAGTCCAAGCGCCACCATGCTGCGGATGGTGCAGCTGGGCGGTACCAATGAGCCAGCCAGCCTGGCTGCCAGTCTGGAAGGGAATGATGGTAAACTACAATCTTGACGGGATTGAGTCTCAGTCATGTTTTCATATTCTCTTCCGCAGATCTGAGCAGTGTGCAGCAGCATCGGCACGAATTCGAGGAGGCAATCCATGGACTGCGCAGTAGGCTGCTGCGTCGCAAGCAACAAGTGGATGCACTGCATCAGCTGATCCAATCACTGAACCAGCATGACCCGAAGTTCAACCAGACGCAACCACTGCGCGTTCAGAGCGGCTCCCGTATTGAGCTGGTGCAGCTGCATGGCAATCATCTGGCCAGCCCCGTGCAACTGCAGCAGCGAGTGGTGCAGCTGCGTCAGCAATATGCCCGCAGGCGCAACAGGCGCTCCTTTGGTGTGGGCAATACATCCTACTTAGGTGCTCTGGACATGCTCAAGGCGAAGCGTTTGCATGTCCAGAACTTGATCTACCATGGTGAACTGCTGCCAGGTGAGACAGAAACGTGGCTCCCACTAAATCGAAAATTTTTAGAGCATTCTCTTGGTTTATTAATAGGATACTTTGTGGAGTCCGCCGAACCACCAGCCATACTAAGCATCAAGGGGCAGCTGCTCACCAAGCAGCTCCACACACAGCAGCTGCTGATTCCGCCCAGCGACAAGCAGCAACCGGAGCGCATACCGGCCAACCACATGGTGGTGCGCCATCTCCAAGTGGAGCGCATCAACAACATCTCCTGGTTCGACTTTTACGATTCGCTCTTCCTGAAGTCGCGCGACAGCGAGATCCAGGGACGACTTGTCTTCCAGTTGC